GGGGCCTGGCCTCCGACAGTGGCGTAGGAAATACCCTGTGATTCCCTGGCCCTTACCTGCCACTGGATCAGAACGGAGGAGGTCGTGTGCGGTGTCACCGAGACGGAACTGGGAGGCTCTCCTGGAACTGGAATCCAAGAAAGAAGAAAGCCAGGGTTAGCTGGTCCGGGCTGTACTTGGCCACCGTCCCGGAGCCAGCCCTCTCCTGGTGCTGGTGAGGACGCAGGGCCGGGGCCTGGCCGGGGCTTGGGAAGCGGGCCAGCCAGCAGCCCCACCTCCCTCCCTTCCCTGTGGATGCCCTTCCCCGCCCAACTGCAAACGGGAAAGAAGGGACCGGACAGTGCCCTGCCCTTACCCCCCAGGCGGACCCACACAGAGACGCAGGGTGCGTGAGGCTCTCTTCCCTGGGAACCCTGCTCGGGGAGCCTTCCTGCCGGTTCCACATCTTCTCAGGGGTCCACACCACCTCCCTTGGGGAGAGCCATCAATTTTTTGAGGTGCGTAGGTCAGAGTGGCTCTGAACAGGACAAAAGATCGGGCCAGGCCAGAGTGCTCCCGTGCTCACGCGCGAATGTGACTGTCACGGAGGGGTGTGACTGCTAGTGGCTGAGGGTTGTCTACACGTGGACGTGGCCCTACACGCTGAGAACTAAAACCCTGCAGCTGTCCGCCATGTCCACAGCTGTGAGATCCTGAGGCCGTGCGTTAAGTGTTCACGAATGGTCACTGACTGGAATGATTTAGGCTGTTCTCCCCACCCCGTCCCACGTGACTAGCCAAATCTTGGTCCCCGGGTCACCTGCTCTGTGAGCCTGCTCTGTACCTGCCGGGGCACCCCGCCCCTGGGACATCAGCCACACCTCCAGCCCCCCATCCTGCCTTCTGGGGAGCTCTCTCCACCCTGCTCTCTGGCCTCTTGCTGGTCTGTCTTAAGTCGGTGGTGACCCTCATCCAGCTTTCTGGATCACACCCGATTACAATTTCGGGGGGGAGGGGGGCTCAACAGCCCAACCACCAGAGTAAGAAAACGTTTCTCAGCAAACCATCCACACGTTGAAAACCCCCGCCCCTGGCCCAGGGCTCCCAAGCCCTCGAGTCTGAGAGTCTCAGCAGATCTGCGGTTCTGGAGACAATACAGTGCAAACACAATGCGAACCAACTGCAAAGAGAAAACCGCGACTCTCAGAAGAGGAGGACAACAGGACAGGTGCCTCAAAAGAAATGATTTAAATATCAAAGGATTGAGACAGGCCTTCGGGAGCCTGGAAGAGGCCCCTGAATGTTTTTTTCTTTCCAGAACAGGCCAGTTCTGACTGAGCCCCGTAAGGGAGGCCGCGGGGTCCTGCTCACTGGCTTGCAGTTTCCTGAGACTCCCTACAAAATCAGCTTGCTCTATTTGCTTCTTTTTGCCAAGAATTAATGCTTTGTCTCAAATAGCACCTGAGTTGTGTTAAACGTAAGATTAAAATAGGAGCCAGAGAGATGACCAGCTTTTTGAGGGGCCTGTTCAGGCTGTGGGCCCCCTGGGCGTGCTTCCGGAAGGGTCCCGGAACGCCTCTGCCGGTCCTCCAGGGCACCGAGGCCGCATGCCAGTGAAGCTAGGCTCCCAGGCTATAAAAGAGGAAGACAGAAACTCTGGGAAGGAACCCAGCGCTGCTGCTGGGCGAACGGAGGGCTCAGGCTTGCGGCCTGGGACGAGGGCTGCAGCACTGAAAGCGGGCCTGACCGTGGGGGCGGCGCCCCCGGAGGGACCTACACCGATGTCGTGGCTCTGGCCCGGGCCCGGCGGGATCCGCACACAAAATCACACCAGCTCTTCAGCCCCGCTCCTCCGAGGTGGGAGGGAGCGGGTCAAGACCGCCTGGAGCTTTTAGGGGACCTCGCCCCCATCCGCCATGGCTTACCGGCGTGCTTTTGCCAAATGGCAAGACTGGGGAGCGGTTTGTGGATGAGAAAAACATGGGGACACCTCCGAAAACCCAGCCGCCCTGCGACATTTATTTTTAATGACTCCATAAATTATTCAATTTCTGGGTTGCTGGTGGGTCGAAGAGGTTTGGAAGCCAATCAAAGAAACCCCCGTTCCATCTGGAAGCCCTTGAAGTCGGCTTCACGGCCACAGGCTGTACGGAGAGCTGGGAGCCACGTGTCGCCGACTGAATTCTACTGCTCGCGCCACCGCCCTCCCTCCCGCGGGTGACCCCTTCCTGGCTCCAGATGAAAGCGGGGCCTCTCTCTGCAAGCCCGTGTCTTGGTGCCCAAAGGTGGCAGCCGGGAAGGGGCCAGCGTCCGCACCCGCCGGGGGCCCGGCCGGCTCACCGTCTTGCAGCGTGGTGACGGCGTCCGTCTCCGCACTGAAGTCACTGTCCCCGATGTCATTGGTGGCTTTCAGGCGCAGCTTGTAGGAGGTGAAGGGCCTCAGCCTGAAACACGGAAGAAGGCTGAGTCCTGAGCCCTTCCCCTCTGCCCCCTGCCCCGGGGCTCCGGCCGGAGTGAGCGGGCAGCTGGAGCAAGACGCGCCGGGGACCAGGGAGTCAGTCCTGCCCGGGGAGGGGCCCTCAGACCGCCAGCTCTGTCTGTCTGGGAGGGATTTCCAGACAGGAGGGGAGCCCGGAACTCCCTGGCCGGGAAGGCGGTTTTGCTTTGGGCTCCTCCGGCGGGGGAGGGGGGGAACCACCTCCTCCTATAATTAGACCCTCTCCTGCAGAGGAAACCAGTGCTCTCTGAGGGACTCGGAATTCTTCAGGAGGAGCTAATTACCACATCCCTCACACCATTCAGAGCGTGAAACCGCTCCGCCTAACCACATCCTTGCTCACCTGTACGTGTTCCTTTGAGCAGGTCGGCGCTGGCCGGGCCCCCCCTCCCCGCCCCTCATCCCTGTTTATGCAGCCGGACGCGGCACCAGCTTCGCCCCGGTTAACTGCACGGCAGCCCTGTGGGGCGCATTCGTGGTGATTCCCGTTTCAAGGATGGGTAAATAGAGGCCCAGTCCCGTTAAGTCCCTTGCCCGCTGCCAGAGGGCTGTAAAGGGCCCGGCCAGGGCTGGAGGAAGACCTTGTCATGAGGCCACCCAGTCCACTGTACCTAAGACCGAGATAATGCCAACTGTCCAAGGCGGGGAAACGTCCCCTCCCAGCCCCCGGCAAGGATTTACGGCACACTGCTGGCTGCCACCTCTGGACCACCACCGTCCTTTCCTCCTTTCCTTCCCCCACATCGAGCAGTTCCGTGCTGACGGGGCTGGTGTGCTGAGCTCCGTACGTCGCCCAAGACTAGGACTCAGGACAAACTTCTGTGCAGAGGACACTGTCTTCGTCTGGTCCTCGGCTGGACTGCTCCTGTGGACGCCCTGGTGTCCGTCTCCCAGACCAGGAGAGTAGCGTGACCCTGGGCTCTGCCCCTCCCGTCCCTCAGGAGGGGAGGTGTGGCCCACTTCCTCCGCTACTAGCAGGCAAAGCCCTCACCGCCTCTGAGCCGGTCCACTGTCCTCCCTCCCGGGCCAGCCTAGAAACCTGTGGGCTTCAAACCAAGCCCCGTGGAGCCTGGGAGGCTCCGAGGGGCCCTCTCGGAGACCGGGGTCCCCACACCCCCTGCGTCAGCCAACAGCGGCCCCCACTTCCGTCCGGCTCGCGAGTGGGGTCTGGGTAATGATGCCTAGAGGAAGGATTCTGCTTTTTCTGCGAGGTAACTACTGTTGGACCCACGGTCAGAAGAGTCTTCCTCTAGCCCTGTTTTCACGTTGCTCTCCCGCTGAAGATGGTGGGACGGGATGACACTGCTTCTGTCGGCCGGCACAGGACACTCTTCCTTCAAGCCCCGCCGAGACGGGGCCTCGCCCTGCTGTGGCTGGTCCGCGACTGCAGGCCTGTCTCCCGGCCTCTCTGCACCCTGGTTCCACAGCTGGAAAAGTGGCAGGCGACCCTGCTGTGGCCCCGGCTGTCCTGGGGGTGCTCCTTTAATTTTAAGGTTTTGTTTTATTTCTTTGAGAGACAGAGGTAGAAACTGGGCAGGGGAGGGGCAGAGAGAGAGGGAGACAGAGAGGGAGAAGCAGGCTCCAGGCTCTGGGCTGTCGGCACAGAGCCCGACGCGGGGACTGAACCCATGAACGCGAGATCATGACCGGAGCCAGAATGGGATGCTTAACCGACTGAGGCACCCTGGCGCCCCAATCCCGGGGGTGCTTCTAAAGTGCCACCCTTAAGAATGATCTTTGCTCCTGGATTCTGGGGGAGATCTCCTCTATTAAGTTAAAATAAACAAGTAACTTCCCATCTGTTCTTAGCTTCCTAGGAGCTATTTCATTGAATTCTGGTGACAACCGTGAGCTTTTCTCCTGTTTCCTGCCTCACTCACCGGAGGCCCCCGTGTTTGGATTAGCTTCTCCTTCTTGGACTAGAGGGCGGTGGAGGGCCAGCTGCCAGGAGCGTGCACTCTGGAGCCAAACTGCGTGCACTCTAACCCGTTGTAACCTGGGGCAGGGTGACATGCCACAGGGGCGCCCAGGTCGTGAGGTGGGCGTGTGGATCACACTCAGGAGAAGCACGTGGAAGAGACTCTGGCACCCGGTGCGTGCTCACCAAATACAGGCTGTTCTCCTTATCATCACCGCCCTCTGGTACCAGCATACGTGGCCCTAGGAAGAGCCCGTCCCACCGTGCTCAGTGCCCATCTGTCTCCTCATCTCCCCCGCCGTGATCTGTCATTAGCCGTTTCTTCCTTGACCACCGTCTGCCTCCTCCACCTTCAGGACTCCGTGGGGACAAGGACCGAGTTGGCCTCATTTACTGCTGTGCCCCCAGCACCAAGAACAAGGCCTGGCACCTAGGAGGCGCTCGGTGAACGTCTATGAGTGGATGAATGAATGGATGGGAATGAAATAGTTATCTCCAAAGCGCCCTGGGAGGGTTGAACGCGTGTAACCATCAGCGCGGCGTCCGGCACGCGGGAGATGCTCTGGAAATGCCCCTTGTCACCGTATGCAGAGCTTACGTTTACTCGGCGTGTTATATTTAAGCGCTTGGGTGGGGGCGGGGGGACGCGGCTTACAGTCCGGGTTCCTCCCGCCGACCTAGAGGCAGCGTCTCACACACAGAAGGAGCTCCCGAGATTCATTCATCCATTTCGGTTGTAATAATGAAGCACGAGTCCTGAGGAGTTTAGACGTCACCTACCACTGCCTCTCTGTACTTAATACTACCTGTAAGGTACTGAAAACACCTATTAAGAACTCATGATTTGCATCACAGAGAGCAAGGAATATCGAACCCCTGGATAATATCCTTGGCCAAATTTACCTGACTTCTCACATGGCTTTAGTTTTAAAGATCACACAGAAGGAGGAGGAGGAGGAAGAGGAGGGCAAAGAGGAGGAGGAGGACGACGAGGACGAGCAGACCAAGAACGCAGTGGACATGAGGCCAGCGCACTGACTTTAGCGGAATCCCTGGTGCTTCACACCCTAATCCCCTCTGGTCGCGGTAGTTTGGGCTGGGTCCACGGTGTCCCCGTGGGGATGTGCAGAGGGATGGCAGAACGCATTATCACTGGATACGCAGCCATCGCCTGAGCTCACGTTGCCACCATCCCACCCTAGTGACATCCAGAATGTCCGTGTGTCCCGTGGACCTTCTCCTCCTGGACGGAACTGCATTTCTGTGGGCGGCAGTCACCCACCAGGGACCGACGCTGCCTCGGTATGTCCCTCAGCCCAGCGCCACCCCTCCTGCTCCAGAGCCACGTCCTCTACATGTGGGGACGGCCCCTCGATGCAGACGGTTAAACTTTTTGCTTAGAACTTTTGTTGAGACTTTCAGGTCTTCTGGTCATTAGCGGATTTCATGCGATCGGCACAAGTAACATGTCAAAAGAATGTAAAAAAAGGAAGGAAAATGTAGCTACGAGAACACGTGCCACGGGGCCGCACAGAGCACTGCTCTCTCGGGAAGGGGGCCGGTGGCTTGTTTCTGCTGACGGGCGGAGGGGGCCCTTTTGGGGGCTGATGACCGCTTCTCCCACGGCAAGTCCAACTGTCCGGAAACACGGGCCCCCTCCTCTCCAACACGAAGTCCCGTGCACACCATTGGTCTGTTTGATTTCAGGAGATTCCCTGACAGGAAAGGCCGGTGGATTTTACCTTCCCCCTTTCTCCGGGATGGTCACACATGGAGGTGGGGTCGTTTTTATCCGCAAGCACATTGTAATTAAGCCGAGCACCAGCGCAGCACAGTGTTTACGAAGCAAGCTGGGCTGGCTCGGCCGCGCCCTCCCGACCCTCGGGGGGACTCAGGGCCCTGGGAGGGGGGCAGCTAGGATGCTGTCCTCCGAGGGGCTGAGAGCTGCGCCTCTCGGGTCCTGGGGCTGTTGCTCCAAGGGTAAGTGGGGTGCTGGCAGAAGTGGGGGACGGAGTGGGACTGCTGGGGACTAATGGAGGCAAATCTTGGGGTCGCAGAGCTGAAAGGAACAGCGAGGTCATCCCTCTGTCTCTGTCTTTCACACATGAGGCAACGAGGCCCAGCGAGCCTGTGCGGCGGACCTTCCCAAGGCCCCGGCGCTGCCGGGCTCGGCGGACTTTGCGGGCTCGGCGTCTGGGTGATAAGACACCAACCGCAGGCCCTCGTGCATTAGTGGGACAGTCTGCGGCCGTGAGCTTGGAGCTACAGACCCAGCTGGCACCAGAGCTGAAGGGCCCCGAGGGCCTCTCTCTCTCATGCGGAGAAGCGCAGCTTGTGTCTCCGCCTCTGCTTCCTCATCTGCCAAGTGTGGTCTGGACGCCTGCGGGCCTGCGATGGACACCGTGCGGAGCCCCGAGAAGGACAGAATGCCGTCTGGCGTGGGGACGACAGTGGCAACGACAGCGGCTTTGATAGTGACCGCGGCGAGGAAGACCCCGCGGGAGCCCTGACGGTCTGAAGCCTCCAGACGAGGTCCCAGAGGTGAGCACCACACGGATGCCACACCCACCTGCTCTTCCTACGATGAAAAGTGTAATCACAGCTGTAACCGTATCTAGTTTTCTGGACACCAGCTCGCCAATGCGCACGTCTGAGCCACCGCCGACCCTTCCGTGGGGGGCCAGGCCGTGCCTCGGGCCCCACTGGACACACCCCTGGTGCTGGGGGCTGTTCATCCTCCCTTCCGGACTGATCTGGTGCTGCCTGCATCATGTGACGGGGGGGGGGGGGGTTGTCACTGGGCCACGAATATCATTTGGGTCCCCGGCAGCTGGAGCTGTAAGCTGACGAGCTGCCCTCCTTCTCAGACTGCAACCCGCCCTGAAGGCCGTCTGCAAAGGGGACATTACATCTGGGGGCCACGACAGAGATGCTGGGAGACCCGTGCCACCTACTCGGGGCAGCTCATGGATGTGCGGGGAGGACACACGCTCCCCACCACTGTCCGGGCCCAGCGCTGCCGGGACCCGCGTGCCACTCGCAGCCACACAATAGCACGAAAGGGGAGCTCTGAGGAGCTGCCCAAGACCGCCCGCGTGGCACCTGCACCTGGACAACTGAGGCCTCAGTCTCTGCTTTCCTGCGACGCCCCAGTGCTGACCACGCCCACGTGCGCATCACACGCCACCTTGGTCATGTGCTCGCTCCCCAAACCCTTCTCTCTAGGCCTTGCTGTTGCCACCTGCTGGAGGCGGTGACGGAGCCACGCTCCAGCCCCCACGGCGCCCCGCAGCCTGCACTGTCCCTCCGGGGTGGGGGGGGG